CTGCTTTGCCGGTGGTGCCCTGGACGCCTGGCGAGGGCGCCTGGGGTTCGCCGTCCATAAGAAGCTCACTGACAAGGGTGCCCTGCGTCTGGGTGGTTGCTCCGTGGCCCCCCTGCAGGGCGCGCGGTTCTCCCAGAAGACTGCTGACGGACTGATTGTCCTGAGGGGGGATACTCCGCGGCTTCCGCAGCCTCCGCCGTCTCCGCCGTGACTTCCCGCTCCTTTCCTCTGGCCTGCTGGTGCTGCTGAAGGGGGGGTCGCTCGTGTGAGCTGTGCGCTGGTCGCTGCAGGCTACCTCCTCTCGATTCCCCATTGGGGCGTCATCGTCTGACCACGATGCGGGGGGTGGTCTCGTGACCTCTGCCCCAACCGCCTCTCGATTCCCCACTGGGACGTCATCGTCTGTCGACGAAACGGGGGGTGCACGTTGCCGCTGCTGCTGCTGCTATGTTCCGAAATGTCTTCCGGGTCCTCGTCGTCTGTTGTCGTCGCGGGGCGTTGAGGTGGTCCGTGCTGGTCGTCGTCTGTCGTCGTCGCGGGGCGTTGAGGTGGTCCGTGCTCAGGGCGATCGTCGGGGAAGGGGCTGGGGCTCGAGACGCCGCGATTTGCATCTGGCCTAACGGGCCCCGTCTCACTTCGGAGATTCGGTAATATCGAAACCGCGCTCCCTTCAGGCCTAACGGGCCCCATTTCAGCCGTGGCAGGATCCTCCGGGTGGTCGTCAGTCGCCCTGGTCACCAAGGCTGGAGCCGCTACGAAATTCTGAGTTCCTGGCCCCGTGACGGGGGGGGTAAAAGGAGGAGGAGGGGCGCCCTCCAAATCCTGGAAGAGCATGCCGATGACCGCCGCGATGGCCAGACGAAAGTTGGCGATCTTAGCCGCCGACTTCGACCGCCTCGCCGCGGCGACGCTGGCCGTCAGCACCTCCCAGTCGAAGTCGCCCGCCGAGCCATCGGTGCCAGCAGACTGGTCCTGGAACAGCTCGCAAAGCGCACAGTGGGCCACGATTTGCCCCAAGCCTGCCGCGGGGACTTCGGAGACGGCGCTGAGGTTCGCCATCATGGCCAGGCGGCCGTTCGCGATCTCGGCATTCAACCTGCGCTGCCTGGCCGCGGCGTCGGCGCTGTAGAGACCGATCGGCCCCCATCCGAGCTCGCCCGGCTTCCTGTTAGGGTCCGAGTTGTACCCGAACGGGCCCGGCAGTACGCCACAATCTGCAGCCAGCCGGGTCCTGGCACCTTGGAGAGGGCAGCCAGCCCGCTCGGGATGTCCTCGAACTTCGCCCCGAGAGACGGGGAGATCTCGCCAGGAAACTTGCCAGCAACCTCGGGCGCGATGTAGCCCATCGTGGCGAGCATGCTCACGCGCCCATGCTTGATCTCTGTCTCGCGGCGCCTCTTGAAGGCCGCGGCGTCGCCGTCCTTCGCGAAGCCTGCGGGGTCCCAGAAGCCAACTGGCGCCTGCGCGCCCAACTTGCACTCGAAGGCGCGTAGCGGGGAATCCGTGTACAGCGCCCAGTCGCCCCACGCGCTGTCCGCGAGGCCGCCCTGGTAGAACATCCCGATGATCGCCATCATCGCCGGCCTTCCGTTCGCGATCTCGGCGTTCAGCTTGCGGGACTTGGTCTCGCCGGCCGGCAAGGTGCTGCCCTTGGGCGCGCTCAGGGCGCCGCCGTTCTCGGTCGCCGGGAGCCCTCGACGGGTCGTGCAGAAGCCCACCGGCGCCTGCGCGCCCAGCTCGCTCTCGAAGGCGCGCAGCGGGGAGTCCGTGCACAGCGCCCAGTCGCCCCAGGCGCTGCCCGTGAGGCCGTCCTGGAAGAACATCCCGATGGTCGCCATCATGGCCAGGCGGCCGTTCGCGACCTCGGCATTCAGCCTCGAACTTCACCCCGAGAGACGGGGAGATCTCGCATGGAAACCTGCCAGCGACCTCGGGCGTGACGTAGCCCATCGTGGCGAGCATGCTCACGCGCCCATGCTTGATCTCTGTCTCGCGGCGCCTCTTGAAGGCCGCGGCGTCGCCGTCCTTCGTGAAGCCTGCGGGGTCCCAGAGGCCCACTGGCGCCTGCGCGCCCAACTCGCGCTCGAAGACGCGTAGCGGGGAGTCCGTGTACGTCGCGGGGACCATGGAAAGGGCGCCGAGGTCGAACAGGACGTCCTCGCCAGCAGCGCGACCAGGGAGGCCAGCGGCGGCGGCCGCCGCCAGCGGCCCGCCAGAGGCGGCCGCGGCGGCGGCGGCGGCAGCGGCGGCCGCGGAGGGCGCCTCGGCAGGCGCGCGGCGGCACCAGCGGCCGCGGCGGCCACTGCCGCGGCCGCCGCGCCCGCGGCGGCGCGGCCGCCGCGGCGGGCCCCAGGGCGGCAGCGCGCGCCACAGCGCTGGCGGCCGCGGCCGGCCGGTGCCGCGGCCGCGGCGGCCGCGGCGGCGGCGGCGCCGCGGCGGCGGCGCCGCCGGCCACGCCGATCGAGGCAGCCAGGGGCCGCGCCGGGCCGCGGCAGCAGCGGGCCGGCCGGGCCGGCCGCGGCGGCGGCGCAGCTGGTGGCGGCGCGCCGCTGCCGCCGCCGCCGCGCCGAGCGCGACTCCATGGCCGAGCGAGCGGGGGCGCGGAGGGGGGCGACACCCTCGCACGCCCCCGCGGGCGGGGGGGCCGAGGACCGAGGGGCAGAGGCCCGGCCACGGCCGGCCAGCCGCTGAGGCCCGCTTGAGCCAGAGCAGATTGAGCCAAGGGGGCTACGAACTGGTGGGGATACTTTTTGATCTGCGGCCCGCAAGGAAAAGTCCAGAGGGCGTGGTAATCGAGCAAACTGGGGCACAGTGCAAGATAACTACAGCGGCCAAGCTGCTGGAGACGCAGGCGAACCGGCAGAACCACAGCCCAACGGCTGGAGACCGCGTCAAGCTGACCGGCATGCAAGTGCACATGCAGAGAGCGAGTGACAGCCAGAGCCAACGAGGACTCGCCCTGACGGCGCCAGCTCGAGAGCGAAACTGCCACAAGCTGCCAACCGCAGCACGCACAGGGCCTGTACCCGTGCAGCCGCTGGGGCAAAACAGAAGGAGGCGGGGAGGGGGGACGAAGAGCAGGACGCAAAGTGACCAGGCCAGAACATTCGACCGACTGTCCTAACAACAGCCGACCAGAAATGGGGCCGTTAGGCGCACCCCTGCACAAGACAGTAGTGCGGAGGGGACGAAAAGGAACGGAAGAGGCGACTCACTCACATAGCACCCTGTGCTCGCCGGCAATCCGACACAGGTCCGCTTCGGGAGGTCGGCGTCAACTGTCGATTGTCGGTCAATCGGCGAACGGGGGAAATGTCGAGCAGAAGGAGAAATCCTGACGCCGTGAGCACCACAGGATCTGGAAGCCAGATCCAGGAGGCGATGCCACCGCCCAGGCGCATCACCCGAGGCGAGCACTGCCGCACCACGCAGTGAGAGGAACATCTCGTCCCCCGGAAGAGACCCATAACGGTCCAGAAATCCACCGCACGTGGGCCTCACTGGTGGGGATACGCGAAGCGTGAGGAATTATGGAAAAACTATGGAATGTTAAAACTTACATTCAAGAATCAGCGTTTCGCTCGAGACATCCCCTAAACAAATCCTTCGAACGGACCCTCGAAACCATATGGTTTCCTCCTCCTCCCCCTCCTCCTGTCTTCCTCCTCCTCCTCCTCCTCCTCCTCCTCCTCCTCCTCCTCCTCCACCTCCCAGTCGCGGACAACTGCGGCGACGACGAATTCCTGGGAAACCCTAGAGATTCTCTGGGAACCCTGGAAGATTCCTTGAGACATGTGGGGGAAACAGCGTCACGTGATCCGGGGGAGGGAGAGGCGGGGGCGATCACGAGCATTATCGCCCAGACTAAAAAAAGCAGGCTCCATGAGACTCCATGTTGAACTACACCCTGATGCAGCGGCTCAGCTTGATGCTGAGCTACTCACAATATCCGACGTTGTTAAGCTCGCTACCGCTATCCTCCCCCTGTACCAGTCCCGTGCGAAGCGGGAACGACCTGTTGCCATTGTACGGTGGGTCCTCTCCTCTCCTGGATGGCACGAGCGGGCGGAGGGTCCCCTAATGTACAGTGTAAGCATTGCCTGGTGTTCGCCCATGGGGGTGAGAGCCAAGATGCCCTCGGAGGCTCTGGGCCCTGAGTTTGTCGCGAGTCTCCTTCGTCGCCCTTAGGGTCGCATGCTCGCCGGAGCTGCGTCCCCTGAGATCCACCCCAGAGCTCCAAAACGAATTCCGTCCAAACGGACCCGCTTGCAATTTTTCCGTGTTCGATGCGGCTGCCGGGCCCAACGTTGTGCCAAAAATATTGCTGGATCCTGTCCCCCGCCTTCGACCGTCGAAAAAAATCCTTGAGGTGATCCGTCAGTGCCGCAGTGGAATCAAGTCAGGCAGTAGACCAACTCGACAAATAGAATCAGGGCAATGCGCGTTGATCCCAAGGCCAGGAGTCAGGCCCTGTCTCGCACAGTTGTCCCACCAGCCTTCTCTGGAGAACGTGCGGTGCACCTGTACGAGCTGAGGACATCTGCACTCCGCGAGGGGGTGCGGGCCAGCGAGGCTCAGGCCGAAGACGCCTACTTTTCTCGGGGGTTGCACTCTGCCTTTGCCCTGGAGTTTTCTGTTGTGTGGCTCGCGCCTTGGCGCCGCGCAAATTCGTTTCAATGTAGTGTCCAACTGCTACAAAGATGGAGGGCGGGCCGTATGTTAAATGTTCGCCTTCCCGCCGCGCACATTCGTTGAAACCCACTCCAACATCTGCTCAGATGGATGGCGGACCGATTCCAAAATGCGGCTCTCGCTTGAGACCTCCTGCATGTGTATTGCCAGGAAAACTAGACTTGATCGGCAAATGAGCGGATGGAGGGCGGACCCTCACAGACCGGGGCTTCCGTTTCACTGGCATGCCCATAGGGCTCTCGCCTGTCAAGGGGGATCTCCCGTGGCGAAGAAGAACGCAAGTGGGAAATTCTGCAGAGGGGACCTTTTTCGGCGGAAGGAGCCATTTCCGTCGCTGCAGAAGCCTGGGCGCGGCGCCGAATCAGGCCAGCAGGAGGGACGAGGACGAACATGAGATAACAAAAGAGGAGACGAGGAAAGGAAGCAAAGACCCAGCGAGGAGACCATGCACACAAACCTCAGATGTCGTAGACCTTCTGGCACTCACCAGGCGGAGGGGCCTCCTCCTCCTGGTCGACACAGCGAAGATGAGATTCGCGCAAGCCTCAAATGTCGTAGACCTTCCGGCACTCACCAGGCGGCGTGGCCGCCTCCTCGTGGTCGTCCTCCCCGAGGAGCCCTCCTATGAGGATGCCAGCCTTTTTCAGGTTGCGAGCGAAGAAGTTCAGATATGCAACGCCCCCTTTGGTGCGGCCGTGGACCACCTTCAACTGCATCTTCCCGAAAGAGATCCACTTCGTTCCCGTGTGGGCCGCCCCCCTGCCCGCGGTGAAGAAGAAGCCAGCGCCCCTGGTCTTCCCGAGCTCGTGGGCCTTGGCCTGGGCCCACTTTCCGGTAATATTGACGCTCATGAAGTACGTGTCCGCACACGCGCCGCCTATCTGCTGGGCGTCAGCTCTCACAAGCAGCAGCACATTCGATGGGCGCGACTTGATCGGCACGCGAATGAGGGAGTGGACGCCAGGCTGCATCAAGTCGAAGTGCTGCCCATGCACGTTGACCAGATGTGGGTCACCAGATGCACTCATCTGGACAGTCGGCGCGGGCGTCACAACTACAGGCCCCCCACCACTAATGCCACTAATGCCACCAATGCCGCTCGCTGGACCAAATGTCGGCGCCAATGTTGGGGCCGCTGTCGGAGCGGGCGTCGGGAAGGGCGTCGGATAGGGCGTGGGAAATGGCGTCGGGAAGGCTGTCGGGAAGGCCGTCGGGTAGGGCGTTGGGAAGGGCGTCGGGAATGGCGTTGGGAAGAGGGTTGGAGACGGCGTCGGTGAATCTGTCGGCGAAGCGGTCGGAGATTCGGTGGGTGCCAGTGTTGGTGAGGAGGACGGCGCAAGTGTCGGTGCCAGAGTCGGTGCTGCTGTCGGCGCCGTTGTCGGTGAATCGGTGGGCGCGGCTGTCGGGGCAACGGTTGGAGACGGCGTCGGTGAAGCTGTCGGCGCCAGTGTGGGGGCAGACGTCGGCGAATCGGTTGGCGCGGCTGTCGGGTTGAGGGTTGGAGCTGGTGTCGGCGAAGCTGTCGGAAATTCGGTGGGTGCCACTGTTGGCCCAGGAGTCGGTGAAGAAGTCGGAGCGGGCGTCGGTGAATCGGTGTAGACGCACGGGTCGCTGTCCTGGTGGGCATAGTAAGGGGACGTCCCAGATATGGCGAAATTGCGGCCCCATTCCTGGATGTACTCCTCGGGCTTGTCCGTCAAGATCCTGAACGCGATGTCGAATGAGCTCACGTTGTCGAACTCTACCATGAAGCACCGCTTCGCCTGGTCCACGGGGACCGCCGTGGGGTCTGGACAAGTGATGTTGACGAGGTGGTCCGTGTCCGTCGGATTGTCGCACCCGTGGCCGAACATCTGCGACTGCGTCCGGATCCCGAACTGTCCACCCGAGACGGCGGTGTACTTCAGGGCGCTTCTGCCAGAAATCATGGTCGGGATCGTTTCTACGTTGTAGGTCAATGCGGTAGGGGTTGGGTCGTAAATCGTCCCATGGACATACAAATCCAAATCGTATTCAATGCCGTAATCGACAGTATAGAGAGCGCTGATACCGTCGAGCATCAGAATCTCATTCTCCCCATCAACGTAATGGTCGATGTCACAGAACGTGAGTTTTGGCAATACCGGCGTCTCTGGGCAGAATGTGTGGTTTCTCACGAACTCCGCTCGCAGAGTGGCGAATTGCCCAACGAGGAGGTTCACGATTGCCTGACTTCCAGAAATTTGGTTCCAGTTGGTGTTCCGTGGGATATAAGCGGTTGTATTCACGAAGACGATGTCGATGTGGACGCCGTTCATGAGAGTCCCGACGCCATAGTACCGGAGCTCCTTGGGCTTGCCGAAATCCGGACCCAATCCAGCAAGATTTGAATGGGAATTCCTCCCGTAACCATCGTTGTTGTCAGGGGTAAAAGTGACCCAGTTCTCACAGGTAGCCGTTATTTCTGGTTCCACGGGGCACTCTTCTGGACATACACAGCACATGGACGAGGAGAAATCTTCGTCGTCATAGTAAGGGTCGAGACAGATGCCGACATATGGATTCTCCTCTATGTAACTGTAGACTTCGCACCCGTTGCCCTTTCTGTTCGTGGCCCCGTTTGCAGAATCGACACACGTTGTCGGCGCTGGCGTTACTGCAGTGGTCGCCCGCCTGGCGAACCATGAGCCTGTTATGGACCTGGCAGCATCCATTTGAACCTGGTGCGACACATCCACTGATGACTTGACGCCAGTGGCGCGCGTGATCGCACCGTGTAGAGAGAGCAGACGTATAGCAATCACGGCCTGGCTCGCGCGGCGCGGCGCCACGAACTGGAGAACGCGCAGCATATCCATCCAGGTATGTATTCGGCTGACCCAGTCAGACCAATCAAAACTAAGTGTCAATCAAAGAAGTTGAGTGTCAATGTGCACCCTTGTTTGCACGGAGTGGGTTAAGCCACAATGGCTACGGAATCGCGAAGAGGGGACTTGGGACAGGAGGGAGTGTGGCGCACCCTGGGTTTACACTGGTCCTCCCCATCCTCCCCGCCATCATCACCAACCATAATCACCAGAATCCTCCCACTTCCCCTCCCCTCTCGCGCCCTCCCCCCTCCTCTTTCTTCCACTTCTACTGGTGCTGTTCCCCCTCCTCCTTCCTGTCTTCTCTCTCTCTCTCTCTCGCTCTCTCCCTTTCTCTCTTTTTTGTTGTTATCTCTCTCTCTCTCTCTCCTTGTTTTTTGTCTCTCTCTCTCTCTCTCTCTCTCTCCTCCTCCTCCCACATCCCCCTCTCCCCCCACCCCTCCCTCTGTTTCCGTTGCTGCTGCTGCTAATGATCATATCGGCGATCCCGTGCCCACAAGCGCGGTGGAGGTCCGCCGATACCCAACTGCCGCTGTTTTCTCTGACCAAGGCTGAACGCCAACCTTCGCAGCCGGCGACTACCGTCCCCTCCTGTTAGAAGCTACCGCATGCACGCGCCGCGCGCACCCCTCCAATTGCAAAGCTGAGACTCGGACACGAGCGCGGCTCGCCCCACCCGACTGCGATTCACCAGGGTGGTGTCGGGCGCAGCCAGTGACGAAGATGTTCTGGGACTTGTTCCGAGGTGTTAAACGTAATGTGCCGTGGATGCTATGCAATTTCGGCAGCGCCTGTCCCTCCTTACCATCCTCGCCCTCCTTCCCCTCGTCTGTTCTCTCCTCATCCCTCCTCCTCATCCTCCTCCCCGTCCCTCTAAAATTCCTTCTCACGATCCTCCTGTACCTCATCGTCTTCTCTCCCCAACCATCTCACTGTTACTTATTTTCGCAATCGGGGCGGTCACTCGGCGCCACATGGCAACACATATGATACGAGGCGATTGCGAGTGGCAAGGGGGTGGAGTTCTCGCCAAAATGGTCTCCCCATTCCCTGCTTCACCACTCGAAGCCATCGCCTCCTTCCTGCCGTCTCTGTGCCTCCTCCATCCTATTACTCTATCGCCCCATCACTCTCCCCTCGACCCCTCCCTCCTCAACCACCCCACTTAAACCTCAGTCAGTGTGCGAGGGCCCAGCCATCCGGCGACCAAAGGGAACCACCGAACAAGCCAAGCATGAAGAACGATCACGGCAAGACGCGCGTATGTGTGAGGGTGCATGCATGCGCGTTCGGCGCCCTCCGGCCTATGCGCTCGAAGGCCACCTTGCCCTGCAGCAGCAGCGGCAGGCCAGGTAGCCACAAACCGCGGACGCTCCGCACCACCTGGGAGGGCCGAGGAAGGTACGCAGCAAATTCATCCACGATTGCACTGCTAAGCAGGGGAAGGACGGGAAGAGGCGATGGAGGGGGCTCGACCCCTCTCCCTCGCTTGCCCCTCCAGGGGGGGGGAGGTGGATGAGGAGGACGAGTAGGAGGGGTCGGAAAACAGAACACTTACAAGCTTCTCGATGAGCACACACAGAAGGCAGTGAGAAGTTCATGGCGCTCCTGCGACCCATCCACCATAACGACCAGGGCGTCTCATCAAGAAAGAAGCAACCCTCGACAACACCGACACTCTGGAGGGATGAGCGACCGTGACTATAAAGTGCCAGGACCGCCTCAGCCAATAGATCAGGCGAGGTCGGACTTGCCGATATTGTTTGCACGGTGCATATTGGGTTACGCTCATGCAGCGACGGGCGGCACATGTGGCATGGGGCGGTCACAGAACCTGAGCCATTCACAGTTGCACTCCTCCGCGCCAACGAAGGGCTGGTCCCCTATATCCCTGGATTCCTTTTCTCCAGGTCCGCAGGGACGCACTCGGAGGCACCGTAGGCATTGTGGCCCTCAAGGTCTGGACAAAGAAAACCGAGAACATGCGCATCCTGGTTGGCTCCTCCATTTCATACCACGCAGGCTGCTACGTGAGGCGTGTTGTCGCCTCAGCGTAGGTGACGTCCAGACTGATCTGCCGACCCCTGGTTGCCAGGAGTGAGACAAGGCCTGTGAAACCTGCCAGTCTCCTTCCCCGTGGTCCGAGATCCCATGTGAGTGGTAATAGCTACGAGCTCGTCAGCGCACCTCGTAGGCTCTCAGAGCCCCGAACTCAATGCCCCCAAATCCCCTAAAGCGACGTAGAAAACCGAACATGTCAGAGGTGCATTGGCAAAATGGTGGCACAATCCACTCTATTACACTTCCTGCGGGTCTGCTTCTCGCTGGGCGGCGCCGTGGCCACTTGTGGTCAGTGGACGTCCTCGAGCGAACAGTGGTGAAACTGCGGAAGCGAGCACTCTTACTTCAGTGTTCTGGCGGATCACGAAACAAGGCTTGACGCACTAACAGACCCAGGGCAGAGACCAAAGGCGAGGGGTAGGGGGACAGGGATCGGGTCAAACAACATTCATACGTGACAGGACATCATAAAATCACAATCCATCAGGAATTTGGCGCGCAAACAAGAAATTGGCCTGGCGAGTAACCCAACCGTATTCAGGTGTGAATCTAGTTGTGGGTATCGCCTTCGGTGAAACCCCACATGGGGCCACGAAGCGTGTGAGAGGTCGAAATGGTGAGGAGAGGGCACCCGGGCTCTGGCACTTGGGCCTCAGGTCGAGCTCCCTATGGGACCACGAAGCGTCTAAGGGGTGCACCGAAATGGTATGGAGAACGCATGCGGGCTCTGGCACTGGGCCCTTTGATGGAGCTCCCAGTGGGGCAACGAAACATCTTGATGGGTGCCCCGAAATGGTGTGGAGAACGCATGCGGGCCCTGGCATTTGAGCCTTTTAGCCCCTGCGGGGCGACGAAACGTGTGAGCGGTGCACCGAAATCGTGTGCAGAAAGCATGCGGGCGCAACCACTGGGGCCTTAGGTGGAACTCCCCATGGGGCCACGAAACATGTGAGCTGTGCGCCAAAACGGTGTGGAACACGCATGCGGGCGCAACCACTGGGGCATTCGGTGGAGCTCCCAATGAGGCTACAAAACGTGTGAAAGGGTGCGCCGAAATTGTCTGCCTTAGGAGGTGGAGCTCCCAATGGGGCCACGAAACGTGAGGGGTGCGCCGAAACGGTTTGGGAAACGTGTGCGGGCGCAACCGCTTGAGCCTTCGGTGGAAGCCCTTGTGGGGCCACGGGACGTATGCGGGGTGCGCCTGAGTGGTGTGGAGAATGCATGCGGGCGCAACCAGTGGGGCCTTAAGTGGGCCTCCCTTATGCGGCCATGAAGCGGTGAGGGGTGCGCTGAAATGGTGTGAAGAATGCATGCGGGCGCAACTGTCGGGGCTCTAGGTGGAGCTCCCTGTGGGGCCACGAAGCGTCTAAGGGGTGCACCGAAACAGTGAGGAGAAGGCATGCGGTCGCAACCACTGGGGCCTTAGGTGGAGCTCCCTATGTTTTTGTTGCTGGGGGCAGCTGGCGGCGCAAGCATCTGCAAGCAGGGATTAAATAAAAGCCAGGAAACAAGAGAAGGATCGCGTCGGGGCAAAAACGTGGGCAACCCCAGAGCCAGATGACAAGGGAGAGTACGAGGGAAGAGGGGCAAAGAGGAAGACAACCAAAGAAGGTGGGAAAGGGAAGGACACTTTGAGCGGGGAACACACGCACACTTCATATAACGTGGTATACTGTATACTGGAACGGCACCACCCTCAATAACTCGCAGCACCCATGCCCCCACCCGGACACACAAAGGAAACGGTGTGGGGAAGGGTGAGGGGCGGGGCCTGGAAAAAGTCATTGTCTACAACAATAGACATTTAGAGGCTCCACGTCTGAAAACTCATCCAAACGAGGGGCGGCAGCCACGAGGGGTGGGGCCAGCCACTCATACAAGAATCCTGACGCATGGTCCGAGGCCGGCAAGAGCCTCAGCAAACTGTGGACGGCCCAGCTGGAATATCCGACATCTGGTCTGCAACACCGCCAGCACTGCGTAGCGACTGGCTGGACGGGCACAGGAAGGGCGGCAGGGCAGTCAGCCCGTCCAGCCGCAAAAACAAGTTCTAGAACACATTCTTGGGCACGTCCAGGATCACGCACGCGCCTGTGCCGGGCGCTCGACTGTAGTGCTCAGGAGAAGCGGGCCGCGGCGCAGTCGATTTGGATGCAGCGTAGCTCTCGCCACAGCTAGGGCGCGTGTGTTCATGTAGCGCACGACGCTCGTCTCTAATGCCCAGCGTTTTCGGCGCTGGATGGCTCACGACGTCCTGTAGCCCTCCGCCGCGCCATGGCTCGAGCCCCAATGGCGAGCTGCACGAGGAGGGAATGGCAGCACGCCTGCATCGACGCAGGCCTGCTTAATGGCCCTCCAGCAGGCGCCCACCGCGCAATCGAAGAGGTTGTCAGCAGGGTTTTGCCCTACATCTACGCCTCTATTCAACGAGCGGATCGCGCGCGAGAGGTCTCTGAGGGGGGGAACGCGCACTGAGAAAGAGGCCGAGGCGCTCAGGCCTAACCAGGAGGCGGAAGCTGACAGGCCTAACCAATAGGCAGGCACTACTAAATATTACGTACGTATATGCCGAACCAACCACGGCCAGCCCCGTCGGCGGTGGCGGCGAAAGCCCGAGGAAGGAGGAGAGAGGCAAGAGACCCAAACAGCAGAGGAGGGGAAGAAGGAAGTGGAAAGGGCCCCCAGGGGGGGCCCTGGACCCCGGATCCGAAGGGACAGAGCCCCGAAGGGGCCCCGGGAGAGAAGGAGAAGGGGAGGATGACAGCTCGCTGTTCAGGATCCTCCCAGACATCCTACGTCCTGTCTTTTTCACGACGTCGTCTCAGCTCATGTGCCACAGATCGCCACCGCCAAGCGGATAGCGCGAGCTCGGCAGCACTTTATGGCTGCCTGGCCCTCCCCCCTGTGCCCATGGTCACAACGGACAAACGTGCTCACCTTGGCGCCGCCCGCGATGGCCGCCATCGGATTCGCGGGGCCCTTCGGGTTCTTCTGAAGCTCGGGGTTGAACGTGTTCTTGACCGAGGCCATGTGGATCCGGCTGTCCGATTTCATGAGGGAGGCTGCCACCTCGATGAAGTTAAGGGTGCTCATCTAGAAATTGTTCTTGTGCAAACGCCACTGGGCATCCATGTGGTACACGCACCAGCTCTTGGCCTGGAAGTTCTCGTCCAGCGTCATCGCGTGGATGCACATGCTGTCGTAGAAGCTGCAGCTTCTCTCGTCGTTTGCGATGGCGTAGTGCTCAAGCGCCCGCTGCCGCAGCTCCCGAGGGCCGTAGTCCAGGACCCTCGCCTTCCACTGCAAAATTGCGGCAAGGCCGTGGCCGCGCAGAAGCCCCTCGGCAACCTCGGCGGTCGCGGCGGCCGCCATCGGGAGCCATCGAGAGCCCAGAATCCACGCTGAACCTCTCAACGGTCTGGCCTGCTGCCAGGTGCATCTCGCTGACAGCCCCAGGGGCCACCATGTGGCTCGTGACATTGCCAGGTGTCTATGGCATCTATGGGCCGAGCTAGTCGTGGCCGACATGGGAAACGCCGATTACGACGAGGATGTCGTTGAAACAACAGCGAATGGCGCGGAGGGAAGCCGACGCATTGCGATGCATCTTCTAGAAAGACGGCTGCCCCCACTTGTGGCCGCTGTTGCGGCATCCCGCCCCCGAGTCGCAATGGATGTTGAAACTGAATGCCACATCGGCGCCTGGGATGGTAAGCCACGGCTCTGGCTTGTGCAGGTTGCTCGGCATCGACTCCCTGATCACCACCAGCTCCGACGCCCTGGGCTCCCTCGTCTTGGCGAGCTGGTCCTCAGAGGCAGCGGCGCCCTTTCTGTAGTCCAGCTCCACATTTACCAAGACATCCGACAAAAGGCCCAAGCCCAACGTTCGGGACCTGGTCGCGCCCCCTGCGGACGAGCGCACGCAGCGCGCAGTGCCGAACGCGTCGTTCGTGAACAGATCCGCTGGGTCGGCCGCGCCCTCCGCCAGCTCGGGGTCGCCAGAGCTGAACGAGGGACGGGCACCCCTCTGCATCCCGTCGAGCTGCCGCCCTCCTGCCCCAGGCCCCCTGTGCCCCGACCCCTCGGGGCCGCTCCGGACGGTGGCGCTGGTCCCATTAGTCGCCTTCGGGCCAATGCCCAGGCCAAGCCAGCCCTCCGGGGTCTCCTCCACGGGCCCCACCTTGGAGCTAACCCCCTCCCCGTCCGCGGTCGGAGCAGTAGTCGACGATGCTGTCGAAGCTGCTGTCGGCGTCGCAATCGGCGCAAATGTCGGCGTATCTATCGGCGACGGGGTCGGTGCTGTAGTCAGCGCGCAGCTATCG